ATCCGGTCTGCACTGTATCATGAGTGCTAACAGACTGCACTGGTTTGGGTATGTAGAAAGAATTGTAGGTATGTAAAATAATGCTTTGGAATTAGGTCTGTAGTGTTTGTATCCCATCAGTTTGTAGGATTTTCTCGAAACTTCCAAATTGTTTGTCTAAATTATCCGTTTTTCAACTACACTACTCAAACAAACAAAAATGCATAGCTACTGAAAGGAATATACTTTTGTTTTTGTTTGGACATTGACCATCTTTGTGATTTAGTGAGCTAAATTGTTTAAATTGCACACAAGAATACCTGAGTGTTCAACCACTCAATGGACTGTTCTTTTGCATCTGGGTCATCGATAGTTTTGGACGGAAGTGCTTTTCTGACAAATAAGTTTTTTTTTATAAACTGTCTATATTGCTTGCTCATATGTAAAATAGTTGCCTTGTAGCGTTTAGACATAAAAGGTCTTATTGGATATTTTGTGGGGACATTTTACAGCAATAAAAAATGTGGCAGATAGTTTGTTCCCTAGAGGATTGCGGTCTGCAAGATTAGCACTTCAAGTATGAGAATTGCACCTGTACAAATTGCGTACAACCGCTTAGCAGTTATATTGAAGCTCCCGACAATGACATAGTAAACCCAAGTCCAGATCAGTTAGGGCAGCGGTTCTCAACCTGTGGGTAGCGACCCCTTTGGGGGGTCGAACGACCCTTTATCATCACAAAACACACATTCACAGAATATTACCTGTTAACTAACTCCTACGACATGCTTGTTGGGGAGGCAGTGGGTCTTTTCTTGTTTTCTCCACAGTGGGACCCTTGAATCCACACGTGGAGCTGATTGACTGAAAGGCATTCTCTCAAATAACATATTTGTTTTCCCTCTTTCCTTAGCGTATCTGAGAGTCTCTGCTGCTGAGCGCAGGTCTGTGATAAGTGCAGCCACTAAAATGATGACGTATGTGCTCATAGTGTTGCTGACAACAGTAGTCCGATACAGCTTGGGCTGTTTCCCGATGCTGGACGTCTTCCAGCACAGCACCCGGTGGATGCAGATCACATCGATGAACTCCCGCCGTATGGTGGAGGTTGGGGAAGAGACGGATGAAATCATGATCATTGAGACGACAGAAACAATAGGAACAGAAGAGGTCATCAAGCACAGAGAGGTAAGAATGTGTTTCTTCTTCTTTTCTTCTTCTCGCATTCGGTTTTTTTGTATGCTCAGGTCAGAACATCAGGTGCGTTGATTCTACGAACTCGCATGTCAACAGCAGGTCCTCCGTGGTTACCCATAGCTTGTTTTACACACTTTGCTTTTGAGGCCAAGTTTCTCTTCTTAGATGTAAGTATAGTTGGGAAGCCTGCAGAATGTGCTCTCGTGTGTATGGTCCTGTCTGACATGCGCACTGTGGGGACCTACAGTCTCTTTTTTTTTTTTTTTTTTCTTTGGCTGTCTTCCGAATAACGGTCCCAAATTATCTACGCAAAAGAATATACCCTAACAGGGCCTCGATCTCGCGTCCATTGCGCAGTTCCGGCGACTTCCGCCGCCGCCGAATCGCCAACTTTCGGCAACCTCCGCCACCGCCGAGAGTACTCCACACGCCGTGGATTGGGGCTAAACTAGTTGGCTGGGACTCACGAGCAGCAGCTACCGCATTTCCTGCAGCTGCCTTCGTTTCATTTTCTCGTGAGTCCTAGCCATCTAGTTTAGCCTCATAAGCGGCGTATGGAGTACTTTCGGCGGTGGCGGAAGGCGCCGGAATTTAGCAATTCGGTGGTGCCGGTATAGTCCCCGGAAGTACACGTGACTGAGGCCCTGTTAGGGTATATTTTCTGCATAGATGATTTGGGACCGTCATTGGGAAGATAGCCTTTTCTTCCTATATAGTATTTGAGCCTGCAGTGTCCTGTTCTTAGATGGAAAATTGTTCTTTTCTGTTGAGACTTTTGTAGATGTTTACTGTACGTTTTGTTCTCTCCTTAATTTTTTGAATTTTTCCCTTGATAAGTGATTTAATTTCTAGTAAAAATGTGTTGTTCTCTTTTCATTTATTTTCTTTCTCTCCACTTTGGATTATGCCATCTCCACAATGAAGGTTGTCTGTGGTGTGTTTTAGCACTTTAATCTGATAACAATAAATATATCACGTGCTGAGGTCCCTTCAATATGATTTTCATCACTTGCGATGCAAAGATTGATACCTTTTGCAAAATTCACAACCTTTTATGTGCATGCATGAGCTGTTCGGAAGCGCACAAGTACATCATGATCTGAAGACAGTGTGCAGTGAGGAGACCAGGGGATCTGACAGTGTGCATTGGAGAGACCAGGGGATCTGACAGTGTGCATTGGAGAGACCAGGGAATCTGACAGTGTGCATTGGAGAGACCAGGGAATCTGACAGTGCATTGGAGAGACCAGGGGATCTGGCAGTGTGCATTGGAGTGACCAGGAAATCTGACAGTGTGCATTGGAGAGACCAGGGGATCTGGCAGCGTGCAGTGAGGAGACCAGGAAATCTGACAGTGTGCATTGGAGAGACCAGGGGATCTGACAGTGTGCATTGGGGAGACCAGGAAATCTGACAGTGTGCATTGGAGAGACCAGGGGATCTGACAGTGTGCATTGGAGAGACCAGGGGATCTGACAGAATGCATTGGAGAGACCAGGAAATCTGACAGTGTGCATTGGAGAGACCAGGAAATCTGACAGTGTGCAGTGAGGAGACCAGGGGATCTGAGAGTGTGCATTGGAGAGACCAGGAAATCTGACAGTGTGCATTGGAGAGACCAGGAAATCTGACAGTGTGCAGTGGGAAGACCAGGGGATGTGGCTGACACTAAACACCCTGTGGAAAAGACAAGACTCTATGTGTTAGGGAGTTGTGTACTACCTTAAAGGCAATGTCTGGTTGGTGCTCCACTCCATGACAGAGACGTCCATTCTTAACACAACTAACCCAACACTGCTAGAGCACACACATCAGCCTTTAATGTAATTACAACAAGCACTGGGCTGTTCGCGTTACTAACCCCGCCACACACTTGCAGGGGTGATTTACAATCGGCCGAACCAAAAGTCTCCAATACAAGCTCTTTCTCATGCCCTCAACCGTCGTGGCTCTGCACGGCTCTGAATAGTGTGGTCATACAGACCATGTCACAGAGCTGAGTTGTCCCCCAGTACAGTGTCCATGACATCATAACGTTCTTCTTTTTGTACTGACAAGGTATTGTTTTTATTTTCATTCAGGTATTATTTATTATATCTCATATATGTGTTGCAGCAACTGTTGTGTATGATGGAGTATGGCGAACATCGGTACCTGGTGAGAATCGATGATGACGAGGAGGGATCGCGCTACATGTGCTACCAGTTCACTCCACTAACTGAGTACATTGTTAGACAAGGAAGGACTGAAGAAAACATCAACAGGAAAAGGGTCAGTCTTTCAGTTCTCTGAGGAGTACTAAATGCAGTGTCCCATCATTATTATAGTTCTTTCGTCATTACCAACATCAGAATCATCTCCCGATTGTGCCATTATGTGTTGTTTACATGTCGCAGTCTGTTCCTCCATATGTTGTCCATTGTTCTTTGTGCAGATTGGAAAAGGTTTTACAAATAAACTATGTGAATAAATCTGTCCTGCCTTTGTATGGTCACCCTTGGTCATCCTTGGTCACCCTTGGTCATCCTTGGTCACCATTGATCATCCTCCGTCACCCTTGGTCACTCTTGGTCACCCTTGGTCACTCTTGTCACCCTTGGTCACTCGTTCACCCTTGGTCACCCTTAGTCATTTTGATCTTCTTCTTCTTCTTCTTCTTCTTCAGCATTCCGATCCCTTGAGGTTCATTGCTGCAGATATCACCCACCTCTATTCATCTTTCTGGTTAGCCTTCTCTTTCCAGTTGGTAACACCAAGTGTTTGAAGGTCTGTCTGGATATTATCTCTCCATCTTCTCTTGGTCTCCCTCGTGGTCTACGACCATTCATTTCCCTGGTGTATACAGTTTTTACTTCTCTGTCATCTGACATTCTTTCAATATACCCCAACCATTTCAATCTATTAGCTCTCTTGATGCCAGCAATCAGTGGTGATTTAAACAGATTATGAATTTTGTTGTTGCTTCTCACTCTCAATTCACGGCTGTTTGCATCTTTGATGGGTCCAAAGATTCATCGTAAGACTCTTTTTTCAAAAACCTGTAATAAGGCTTCTTCTCCTTTAGTTGTGCTTCAAGTTTCAAAGCCTTATAAAACGACTGGTCTTATCAACATTTTATATATTTTAATCTTGATGTTGCGAGACAGACACTTTGACTTTAGCAGATGTTAAAGGGCATAGTATACTTTATTTCCATATTGTATTCTAGATTTTGTTTCATCTCTCAGCATGTTGGTGCAGTTGAAGTTTGCACCCGAGTACTTATATGTATCCATTCGTGTGATTTTCATATTATCGACTTGTATGTGGCCGGAGTTTATATCCTTTCCCTGTCTAGTTATTATCATGTATTCTGTCTTATCTTGATTGATCACTAGTCCCATTTTCTGAGCTTATTCTTTTAAGACATTCAGTGTTTTAACAGTCTCTAGTTCATTTTCTCCAACGACATCAATGTTGTTAGTATAAGTGTAGAATCGGCTTGGCTTTTTACCCCACCAGGACATCACACAAGCGATAAACACCCAATGACACAAAGTGCCACCATGCGGATGAGGATCACCGTGGAGAGGTTCCAGAAACCGCGTTCAGACATTTGGCCATAATGATGACCTGCCTATATTGCGGCCCCTGGCAAAAGCCAGAGTGGGGCTTCAAATAACAAAAAATAACGTCCTAAGAAGGATGTAATGGTTTATAAGTTTATAATCTTGTAGTTTCTCCTATAGTACACTCTTGTTTCAATTTCCTTAGTTTTCTTTAGGGCCAAGTTGAAAAATATATATACAAGGTCCGACAATTAAGTAATGAGACTAATTCCATAAAAATTAAAATAATCAACAGCTGAAGATATAACCCGTGTCTGATTTAAAGTAAGCCCCTTGTGCATTGATACAGCAAGTGGTACGATCTAACAAATATTGGAACAACCTCTGTAGTTCTTCTGTTGTTATGGCCCTTAAAGTCGATGTTACGCCCCTTTGGATGTCATCAGTATCATTTAAGAAGCGTCTTTTAAATTGTAATTTTAATTTTGGGAATAGAAAAAAATCACAGGGGGACAAGTCTGGGGAATAGGGTGGAAGGCTGAGAACACACACTTATTTTTGGGCCAAATATTCTTATTTTTATGATTTTTCTTGTGTACTCAACCCGGTGATGTTTTTGGTCATCAGACAACAAATGTTGTACAAACCGGCAAGCAACTTTTTTGGGGGCCAAAATCTTGCACTAAAATGCTATGAATGGTCTCTCTAACATCAGATTCATCTGCTATCATCCTCATAATAAAACAGTGATCTTTTTGTATGTGTTCTCTAAATTTTGCAATGAGTTCATCATTATGAACAGAAATTTTGAGTCTAAGTCTAGGGGCATTGGTAATAATTTCCACACCACTTTTGAATCCTGAATACCACCTGAAAATTTGTGCACAAGATAAACAATTATCCCTATAAACTTGTTGCATTATTTCAACTGTTTCAATCACACTTTTTCTGAGTTTAAAAAAAAAAATTTATGTTAGCTTTTTGCTCCAAGCTGATTTCGTAACGATGCATCTATGTCTGGGTTAACAAAAATGGTGGCTTGTTTGTTATCTGCTTATCGAGCGGTGATGAAAAGTGCCAGATCATAGATCAATGTTGCCTCTTTAGATTCCATACTTTGCTTCATAGTTGGCCTTTTTGTCTTGGCCATAATAAAATCAGTCTCATTACTTAATTGTCGGACCTTGTATATGGCTGAGGAACATTGTTCTATACCACATTTCTTTTGTTGCAGGTCAATTGTATAGATGACCAGTACACCGAAGATGAACAGGTCCTTATTGCTTATTCAGCCATTCAGCCACAACAGTGCCCATTGGCTGGCGGATATCAACTGATTATGCAACAAGGTATGGCTGTGGACCGGCTGTGCATAAACAGCATTAAAACCTACAACCCCTATATTCAGTTCCATTGTGATGGGCGTGGCTCTGGAAATGTATTGGTTGATTTTGGAAAGAGTTGTCAACCAATGGCATTGAATCCATACATGAGAGGGCGCCACTTGACTCATTTAAGGTGTGTTGGCCAGTGGGAAGATAATGACTTCCATTCTGTTCTACTGCAGACGCGAGATAATCCGCACCATTTCTGGTGTCTGCACTACAAGGTTGTGAGCTGGGGAAAGTCTGGTGGCAAAAATAATGACCAAGAAGAACTGGTGAAAGTGTTTCTTACAATAGATGGTCGGTGTTCTAGTCAAACATTTGGAAATGAGGATGTGCCTAGGAATACTAGCATGTTTGGGCACTTAGCTTTGTATAAACCAATCAATGACATCAAATGCACTGAAACTGTTTATGTAGAAAGCTGTAAGTTGGATGAAGATAAATGTCTAGAGTCTATTGAATGCCCAAAGTCCTGTGGAAGATGCCTTAATCAGGTAGAAAGCTACAACTGCACATTCCCTGCAGAAACTTTTGGATCATGGAAAGTGTTTAATTCTGATCGCAATCTGGAAATGACGATTGACAAGGACCGAATTGAAAGCTCCAGTTTTGGAGAACTGATGTGCCTGGGAGTGCCTGAACCACGTCGCCAAGGTTACCTGTACACTGTTGTTCAGATCAATGCCGCACCAACATGCAATTATTATTACTCCTGTGCTGAAATGTTCAACCCAAACCCAGGTGTGCTGACCTTTCAGTTGCGTCCTGCGTTCCGTAATTCAAACACAGGTGAACTTGTATCGTGCAAGGAAAGCTACCAAGACAGTCCTGTACATGTCAGGCCTCCAGAACCTGAAGCAGGTTTCACTTTAATTAATCAACAAAGACTCCAAAGAACTTCATGCAACTTTCTCCAGAGTTCCAAATACCGGACCAAAATCCCCGGTTGCAGTATTGTAGTCCATGAATGTTCTGGTCCTTGCCAGATTTTTAATGTAACCTTTGACATTCCATCCTGCGACAATGAGACTCAACAAATATACAACATTGAGAACCAACATATTTGCCACGCTAAAGTTGACTTCTATGATGGTGTTTACGGAATTGTAACTAAGGGAGTCACCTCGGGTAAGTTCCTGTGTTGGGTGTTTGGCAACAGCCAGTTGTTTGTGCCAACTGCTGAAGATTGCAACCTCGATTCCATGGACAGGATATACTCAGATGCTTCAGCCGATACCCGTTATGACCTGCTGAAGGCCATATCGCTAAACCCACCACAAGATAATTCAGCTGAAGCAGTCATCTTGCCAGTTCCATCTGCATTAATGTTCTCTTTATTGGTTACTTACATGTTAGAAGTAGCTTTTGTTGCTTGTTACTACAGATAAAATGTGGATAACAATCAACCGTGTGCTCTCTCAATGACCTGATCCATGTTTTTACAGAATCTCTCTACTGCAGACATGATGGAAGCTGTGGGCTTACCCAAGTGTTTTCAGAAGGGGTGGGAGCTCAGTTCTTCCCTCTAACCATATATAAAATGTTATATATGGTTTATGTTAAAACTTAATGTAGTTTGATAAGATATATGCTTCCGACAAGCAGTGCACCCCTGGGCTCAAGGAGTGGTGTCTGCCTCAAGTGCCAAGGTCCCAAGTTCAGGCCCCAGTAAAGGCTGGGATATTTTCACATGGACTTCTAGTAATTTCCCCTGGTCTCTGTGTAGTAAGATTGGACACCCATGTGTATTGTTGTACATGATCCCATTGGTGTCTCCCACTGCAGTATTTTCTGTGTGTCTGTGCCACTTGTTATTTTGTACAATCAGACAACATCATTGTTAGCATTTTATTTGTAAATAACACCTTATGTTGTACCAACCAGACTATATCTGTATATTGTTGGTGTTAATGCTGCAAAACTACACCTTGCATTGTACAACAACAGAATACCATTGCTGCTCTTGACTAAACATCAAATGTTGTATTATACAACCCCGAGAATTGTTGGTGTTGATATTGCTAAACTTCACTTCGTGTTGTATAAGGGGCAACAATCTCATATATGTGCAGTTGTAGTGAACACATTAAACATTTGGTTCAGTGAACAACTGCAATTTTTTTTTATTTTTTATTTTTGATGACAACAATTTCCGCCTTTATATCAATTAAATACTTGCCTGAATGACAATGGCAGCTTTTTCTTTCCACCGCATGGTGCATAGTACATTCAAAAGGAATACTTTGTTACATTCTGCCACACCTGTTTATCTGTTTTATTAAAGTGTTTGTAATAAATTCATTGCAACAGTTTTAGAGGAAGGCTTCTTATGCAACTGCAACATTTAAATACTGGGTTTTTTCTGTCAAAAAAATGCCAAATATTGTATAATACAACCCAGATATCTTACTGTGCTAGCAGTAAGAAAAGGAAGGAAAAACACAGAAGAAGGGAGATAAAGGCAATTTTTTATTAGGACAAAATGTAATAGTTCCCCGCTAAACAGCAAAAACGGAAAAAAAAGAAAAGACACTGGTTCTTATGCGCAGAAATACTAGAATATTTCACTTAGACACAAACAATGAAAATCTCTATCATGAGTTACATGACGATGACCTAACTACATGGGTACATACACCTAGATGAACCACGGACTACAGATCCTAAATTAAATCAAGCAAATGAATTATAATCACATTAAACAGCTGTTTATTTTACTTAATATAACATCAGCGTGGTCCACAAATAACATTAACAACAATCACCGTGCTCGACCAGAATCTAAAGCGATCTTCAGCTTACAAGGAAATATGATAATGACACCATAGGCTCAGCGATATTACCTCAAGAATGGCAAAAACCGAAATATATTTAACATGTACGTTAAGCTTCAATATGCCAACAAATCACTTATAGCGACCTGCCATCAAACTACCTCCTAGCGAGAATACAAAATGGAAATCAAATCTAACACTCCTGAAGAAATTTCAGATTTAACTATGGAAACATACCATCATCTCAAACACGAGCGAATCAAGCGTCGCTCAGCCGGTCCGATCTGACACACCTGTGCGTTGAGACTAAGTGCAATCAACAACGGTGGACAGGGCATCTTGACCATACCGTGCTGACAACAGCGCAACAGCCAAATAGGTCCTAATAGCGAGTGAGTTGCCTTTTTATACCCAGTGGCCAGACTTTTCCCCATTTTACTGTCTAAAACTAAAAGCTGTTCCTATGGCCTCTTTAAACTGTGACATTACATCATTGGTTAAAAAACAGCTCACAGTATCAAACCACACCAACATTCAACATTATGTTGCTGTTCCTAAATTATCATGAAGTGTGGCACAGTACATCATGACTTCACCTGCTGTGTTCCCTTGTGAACATTGTGTTATCATTTGAGCTAGGCTATTATATCTGCCCCTTTCTGTCCAACACATCTAATTTGAACAACTCCCTAATTAGTATGCTTGTTGGGGGAGGGTGGCAACGCAATGGGACTGTCCCTGCTCCCTTCCTAATTGGACCCTGCAACCCACACTGAGGGATATCAGTAAACTACCCCTTACATTGTAAACCTTCACGTGTGGGTCCTGGGGTGTTGCCACTATGGGGGAAAACAAGAAAAGACCCACTGCTTCCTCAACAAGCAGGCCATAGGAGTCGACTTACTGGGTTAGCGTAGTCGATAAGAGGCTCGCTTTCAAATCCAGCTGTGACTTGCTGCAGCCCACAGTAAGTGTTCGAAGCGGGGCGTCTCCTGGGGTTCACCCAGCCTCTCGGAAATGGGTACCAGAGTTGACACTCTGGGGTAAATGGAGGAACGTCGCCTGTAGCTACAGAGTTATGTGCAAACGGCAACACAAGTGGACAATTCTTATCAGCGGTCCGTACTGGTGGCAGAGCACTTATGGTTTAAAACCGTGTGCAATGACACTGGTTCACATCTCCCGTCTTTACATTCACCTTTTACTTTAGAACCAAGAATCTGCATAAAAAATAAGCCAAATATGTTAAACGGATGTGCACTTGGCACTTATACTCTGGAATAAGCCTGAAGTCTAGAGGTGAACTGTCTGCCTGAGTAACAGCCGGTGAATGTGAAGACAGAGAAGAAGAAGAACAAGACTGCTGAACTGAACTGAATTTCTACCCCACCAGGACATCACACAAGCGATAAACACCCGATGACACAAAGTGCCACCATGTGGATGAGGATCGCCGTGGAGAGGTCCCAGAAACCGCGTTCAGACATTTGGCCATATATATGGCCTGCCTATATTGCGGCCCCTGGCAAAAGCCAGAGTAGGGCTTCAAATGACAAAAAATTTCGTCCTAAAAAGGACGAAATTGGATATAATAATTACGACAAGACTGCTTTCATTTACTCTGGTTGTTTTAACAATAGAGTCAATAAATATACATCTTTGAATTGTGGATTATTTATTTTGCCAGCGTTTTTATTTGCTAATTTATTTATCATCTTACCTTCCTTTCCTGAAGGTAGTATCCTCAAAACAAATGTCCATCTAGAAAGCAGACTAACAAGGTAGTTCCCAAATACCCCGTTCAACCTGCAAAGAATTTATAATTCGGCCACAAATAACGGCTTCACTAACCAACTGTAACCCGCAGTTCTGCGCAAACTAGAGCACGATCTATGGGTGAAGCTAACACAACAATTTCGTCAAGGGAGATAAGTTCATGGTCAATCAACAAATAGACAGTTGTTTCCCCTGTATTGTTTCGGAAATCAAAAGAAGTTGGGCATTAGATCCATTTTTCTAACCGTGTTGGGTTCTGAAGCCGCGTTGTGGGTACCACAAGTATACACCCTCCCCCCCCCCCCCCCCCCCCCCCCCCCCCCCCCCCCATCCCCCCCCCCCCCCTACATGAAAAGCAGTCGTACAGGTCGATGAGGTGGGAGGGGAATTTTTATCTGGCGCATATAATCTGGACACAATTTTACCTAAAGCTACCTCTTCTGGGATGCTTAAGCAAAGCAACGGAACGCACCAACAGGCTCACTAATGCACAGCTCAGGGAGAGACCTGAGTGAATTCCAGTTACAGAATATAAGACTGTGACTTCAGCGTTTTGAAAGCGCTTCGTAATACCGCAGTGTCGGTTTTGATTCCACTTGCAGGTGATTTGGCAGTAGACCGCCTTGCGATGGTTTGGACAATGGCATCGAGAGCCAACCGTTTAGTAGCAATGGCAAACTACTGTCTAGAAAAAGCACAACAGCAGGTACAAATATTTGCTGGGGTTTAGTCCTGCAACGTCCTCTAAAGAGCATTTAACTAACTATATACGGAGACACAGCTCGAGAAAACCAGCTTTGGAACAACACCAAAGTCCAGACATGGACTTTCCACCAGAGATTACAGTCACTGAACGCCATAAAGAAGAAGTAGTGGTAGACGAAGAAGAAGAAGTAGTAGTAGTGGTGGTGGTGGTGGTGGTAGTAGTAGTAGTAGTAGTAGTAGTAGTAGTAGTAGTAGTAGTAGTAGTAGTAGTAGTAGTAGTAGTAGTAGTAGTAGTAGTAGTAGTAGTAGTAGTAGTAGTAGTAGTAGTAGTAGTAGTAGTAGTAGTAGTAGTAGTAGTAGTAGTAGTAGTAGTAGTAGTAGTAGTAGTAGTAGTAGTAGTAGTAGTAATTGTTGTTGTTGTTGTAGAAGAAGAAGTTGTAATCAGGTGTGCAGGCGGGAAGAGTGGAGCAGAATCGTTAGACAAACAAAAATGCTCACAGATGGGCGCAAATAGTCAGGCAAAAGCATTATTTTTGGTTTTATCCCATCTCCCCCAAACACAGTCGAATATTTTATGGGGTGGTAGATAGGCTACTTGCAGTCGTGGGACCTAGGCTTCAATCTCCCTTGCGACGTAGGTGGGTTGGGGTTAGGCACAGTTCTAGATGTTTTGGGGTACTTAAAAGCATCAGAAAGCCGCTCTTACCATCTTCGAAAATACTGGACTGGCCTTTGACGTTACCCTGGGGGGAGATATTGGGGAAAGTACCTCATTTTTATTTGTAAATTTAATGCACCTTGACGAATTAGAGAAGATGCTACCGGTAGCGTCAATGCGTCCTACCTCCAGTGTGAGGAAGGGGCATATTGACAATGGGTTCTTTTCTTTTAGTTTACTCCATCGCGGGGAATATGACCAATAGTGCAGGGAGTTAGAATGTGAAATGAACACCGACTAAACCTAACCCTAACCCTAACCATAACCATAACCCCCCCCCCCCCCCCCTTCCCCTCAACCAATCCTATAATTTACTTTCCCGGAACTACCCGTGAAGTCTTGGAGTCCCCGATATGGGGGTGAACTAAAAGAAAAGTACCTGACAATGAGTAAAGTATAGACTGTGGCATTACAA